AAATTACCATAAAATAAGTATCCTACAGCTGCAAAAATGTATTCTTTCATAGTTCTGGAGGCTACACAAACTCAAGGTGTCAGTAGAACTGTGTTCCTTTTCATGACTCCAAAGAAAAAATTTTTTCTTGCATCTGACAACTTCTGGTAGCCCCAGGCATTCCTTGCCTGTGCTGCTTCTTATCGTCACATAAATGCCTCTTCTGTTTCTTATAAGGACAAGTGTTTTTTGATTTGGGWCCCATTCAGATAATCCAGGATCATATTATCTTGAGGTTCTTATCTTAATGATATCTACAGAGACCCTTTTTCCAAATAAGGTCATATTTACATGTTCGAGGATTAGGATATGGACATGTCTTTCTTGGGGTCACTCTTCACCTCACTGTAGACATAATGTGCATTATAGTGAATGCCCCAAATGACCTTTACATGTGCTGTGGTAGGGGCTACCAGAACTTAGCTATGTGCACACATCATTGTCTCCATATATATCATTTGAGGAGCACTGAAGGGTTTGTCCTCCATTTTCAAGTGCTAGTTTAGATCATAAGTGTCCCCTGAAAGTTCATGTGTTAAACTTGGTCCCAGGGTGATGCTATTGGTGGACACTTTAAGAGGTGAGGCCTAGTAGGAGGTCTTCGGATCATTGGGTGTGTACCCTTGAAGAGGACGGTGAGATCTCTGCCTCTTCTTCTTTCTTCTTCTTCTTTTTTTTTTTCCTAGCAATGAGGTGAGTGGTTACTCTGCCACATGTTCCCACCATGATGTACTGCCTTACCACAGGACTAAACACAGTGGGCTAACTGATCATGGACTCAATCCTCTGAAACAATGAACCAAAAGAAATTTTAATAATTTTCTTTTTCTGAGTTGATTATCTCTGGTGTCTGTTATGATGATGGGAAGCTGATGAACATCCCAAATAACTTCAAGTAATTACCAAGTCTGAAAGGCATACTGGTTCTTGGGAARCCTTTGTGTTCCAGAGTGTCCTGTGCATACTCTCATCATCAGATGTAATCCATGCATTTAATCACCTGGCATTGAAGTCCCTCATTTACTTAACTCACTTGTTTGTAAGGCATTGAGGGAAACAAATGTACTCACCTTTGCATCCTCATGGCTGGCACTGTGCCTAGTAAAGAAGGGATTCTATGACCTTCTTTGAGGCACTTCACATTAGACTATAAGTGGTCCTGAAAATTTTTTTTGTTTCTTTCTTGTATTCACCACTCTTATCTCTCTCTCTCTCTCTCTCTCTCTCTCTCTCTCTCTCTCTCTCTCTCTCTCTCTCTTTCTCTCTCTCTGTGTGTGTGGTGCTGGAGATGGAACCCAGGGCTTTATACATGTTATATAAGCAGTCCACCAACTGAACTATCGCCTCAGCCTACAATTAACTACTTAATTAATTCAAGATTACTGAATGGCTGATGCACAATTTTTAATGGAGCCAGGATATAAATAAAAACCACCACATATTGTCTAGTTTTCATGTAGCTGCTGGTAACATATAAATTCTTATATTTTAATAGCTCAGTCTGTTGGAAAGACCCATCTGAATAAATTACCTATAAATCAGTAGTAGTTACTATAACAAATGCATACATGAAATATTATGGGGGCAAAGAACAGGGAGCTGCTATTTGTTTTGGGGATAGTTAGAAATGACTTCCAATGACTTCAATCGGTTCTTGAAGGGTGAGTGAGCAGAAATTTTCCAGGGAGAGAATATTCCAAAGTGAGATGGAACTGGTTGGGAATTCTATTGGAACCATAATAGCAATACAAGAGTGAAAATTCAGTCATTTCAAGAATAATGAGACTTTCTTTTTTATTTTTTTTAACAGATGCAGAAGGCAGATGAAGAAGTGGTTAATTATATTGAGGGAATAAGACTTGATACTCAATGTACATGTAAGGTTAATGATGGAGGCAGAACCACCATGAGGCTATCCCTCAGCAGACTCTGGGTCTTTCTTTTTAAAAATGGGGTGCCTGCACTCTTTGGATGTTGATTAGAAATGTGGTCTGGGTTTTCTCCATGGCAGGCTGTAAATCTATATTTTAGTCAGGAATTTGCTCTTTTGGATTAATATATAATGTCCTTGAAAGCCCTCAATTCTTTTCTTTCTTATTTTTTTCCGAAGGTGGGGGAACCTTCTTTAAAAAGCTACATGATAGTGCTGTATTTAGCTCATTTCAACAAAGGTCACAGCATTTCTGAGTAGTAAACACTATTACTAGATCTTTCCAGTGTCCGGGTGTTTGGCAGCCATGCCTCCATCTGGAATAAATGAMTGGAACTCCAAGGGTATAGGACAGCTGTGGGCCTGGGAAGCCTGTGGGCATCTGGAAGAGGCAGATGCATCCTGTTTCTCCTCAGCCACAGCCAGGAAGAGAATCAAGGCAAAACTCTCTCTTTTGCTCAAATCAGCCAGACTATTGAGCAAGTTTAAAGCCTGTCTGGTCCACAGGTTTTATTTTGGCTTCAGAAACCAAATGGATAAGAGGAGATTTATTGAAGAAGCTGCTGTCAGGAATCTAGGATTACTTTCAGTTGCAGCCTAGCAGCACCTGTATTCTATTCCTAGGATATTTCCTCCTGTGAGGGTAATATCAGCAATTAATATACTTGTATTTGTAAAGCTTTATTCTTTAGGGCATATCCAACCCTTGGGAGAGGTCAGCTAATTAATTTCGGCAATGTTTCAGATTAGACTGTTGTGTGTTTTATGACTTTGAAGATAACAGTGATTATTAAGCTGTAAAAATATGAAATCACTTTTGTAAGGAGTCCCAGTAAGGAAGTAATAGAAAACAGTCAAAGAACTTGGATATTCTAAGAAGGACTTTTCACCACTGCCTCAGAGCAGGACCCTCAGAGGAGTGGCCACCCAGCTGTGAAGCAAGGGGAAAAATCACAAACACAAACAATATTATCAAAAGAAAAGTAATATGCTTCAACATTCTAAGGAAACCCACATTACTCTAGAGATGATATGAAATCATCTATATCTCTGGATCAGAGACAACTTCTTAGCAGCTTTGAAGCCAGTGATTGGACAAATGCCTTTCATTTGTGGTGGTGGAAAAGTCACTGGACCCTGACCTATGAACACTTGGGTTTGAGCGTTGTCTCCCTCAGTCAGGAGCTCTCAACCCTGGCAAGATACTGGGCACCTCAGAATAGCAATGCTCTCAATTATGGAATGATTAATCATTGCCCAGACAGTAGACTTTTCTTTTCACCTTAAGAACCAGCCTCCTGGTTCAAGAAGCTCATCTTTCACTCAAATCACTGCTCCTCACTTCCAATGAGTCTCCTCTATTTCATGCTTGCTCAGGTACTATGTCTTTTTCATATAGCTCTTGGAGTGGTCTTTTAAATTGCTATTTTGTTTGTGTTATTCTTTTGCCTAAAATCCTCTACGGGAATCCGTTGTATTTAGAATACAGCACAAACTCCTTACCATGGCCTTCATGACCTTGCATAATCTGGCCCTTGCTCCCCTACCCGGCCTCATCTTGCCATAGTATCCTTGTTCACTGGGCTCCAGCCATACTGACTTTTCCACCCCTTGACCAGACAAGGCTGCTTTACCTCTGGGCCTTGGCTGTTCAACCATCTTCCCCATTTCTGAATGGCTCTTTTATTTACTCCTTCAAGTCTTAGGTCAAATAACTTCTGTTCACAGAGGTCATCCCTGACTACCATATTTAAGGTAGCATCCTCTGCCACTTTCTAACATTTTTTTTTTCATTCACAGCAATTATCACAATGTGAATTTATCTTGTCTAGTTAATTATGTAACTATTTATTATAATTCCCCCCCCTCCAAAGACTGTCAGCTCTGTGATAAAAWTTTTTTTTTCCTTGTAGTGCTGGGGATTGAACCCAGGGCCTAGTCCATACGAAGCAAGCACTCTACTTAGTCCAAGAAACAATGTTTTATCTACTGTTTTTTACTGAGCATTCCCAGGATTTAGAATAATACTTGACAATCTTAGTATGTACTAGGTACTCAATGAGTTTATACTTTTTTGGATGAATAATGAATGCATTTAAAGGTAATTATGCTTATGGAAGTGTTGAGCCCACAAAATGCTTTAATTTGCTCTTACATTCTTCTTCTTGGGGACTTGTTCTGGGATAAACTTCTCTTGACCAATAGGAAATAATGATAATAATAGTTAATACTTATGAGTTTCAAGTATATATGGGACACTGTTCTAAGTGCTTTTAATGAATTACCTCATTTACCAACCCTCTAAGATATGTACTGCTATTATTCTAATTATTAAGATGACTAGACTAGAGAAYAGACGGCCAAGTAACAGAGGAACAAAGCTAGTGAGTGGGAAAACTAGGATATAGACTCAAGCAATTTAGTCCCACAGCTGTGATCTTATCTTTAACTTACTCAAATACCCTTTGTTAACCTAGCATTCAAGTTTTTAACAATCTGGTAACAGCCAACTCTCCCAACCTCTTCTCTCACTAACCTCCTTCATTGATTAGTTCATTCATTTATTCATTCGATGCACATTGAATGTTTATCTACCTTCTGCAGGTCACTGACCTAGGTCCTAGGACTACACAGCTAAATAACCTAGTATCCTTCTTCAGATCTTCTGAGGTAAGGGAAAGGATGCTTGGAAACATGAACATCCTTATTTTACCAATGCTCTTAGCACAATCAAACCTTTGTGGGCTGGGGATGTGGCTCAAGCGGTAGCGCGCTCGCCTGGTATGCGTGCGACCCGGGTTCGATCCTCAGCACCACATACCAACAAAGATGTTGTGTCTGCCAAGAACTGAAAAATAAATATTAAAAATTCTCTCTCTCTCTCTCCTCTCTCCTCTCTCACTCTCTCTTTAAAAAAAAAAAAAAAAACCTTTGATAAACTCAAGCAGGGAGTTTACTTATTTTATAACCTAAGATTGTTCTTTTATGACAAGTGATGGATTTCAATATTTATGAGGTGTCTTCTAGATACCTTATTTCTCCAAACACTGCTCCAGCTTTCAGGGTAACCAGAACTTTAGTACCATCAGGGCCTCCAAGGACTTGGACTTCTCCATGCTTAATGATATACATTTCTTTACCAATTTCTCCCTGTATTCCAAATATAAAGAGGAAATCTTAGTCATTGTACACTTAACAATTACACCTCAAATTAATAAATATAAACTCTTCTAGAGGAGCAAATACAAATGAAGGAAGCACAGAACATGATTGTAAAAGCAGTTTTCTTAAGACCTCTGTTACAGAAACTGTTATGTGAAAGGAAATGATTGGAAAGAAAATACTTCGCAACACTTGAGCACTGTAAGCCAACACTGGACATAGTCAGCATACAGCCCGAGGAATGGGCATGAGTAGAGAAAATAACTGATTGGATGAATGATGTACTCTGGTTTTGGTGACCAAAGTTATCCTCTGAAGAAGGTACTTGATCCATCCAAAAAGCATGGACTATAGCCATTCCAAGGTGAATTCTGTCTTTCTGCCTATGCCACTGAGTCTGATTTTGGGAATCAAGGCACAGGAGACCTTTAAGCTATTAATTTTGCTCAATATTGAGAGATGCTAATGCACCAGGTTATCTTACTCAGTTCTTGTTTATCTTTGGAAACTCCTGGGAACCAGAGCAATGACCTGTAATCGAGTCCCTAGAATTTGTCTCTTGGGATATTCGCGTGGTCCCAAGTCAATGGTGTTATTCTGTATGTCTGAGGCAGTGTGGCAGCTGTCAGCATTCTTTATGTAAACACATGATTTTTTGATGTGTCCCTTGTACCTGGTTTTGAGCTTGGATCATGATTGTCATTTAGTTAAATGACTAGCCTCATTTAAGTACTCTGGACTCAATACTCAGATTTCTCCAAGTGCACATATTTTGCTCATGTCCCTCTGGTACAATACAGAGAAAAATGCATATACATGTGGCCTTCAAAGAAGTAGGGCCTAGAATGCCTGTGACTGATTTCTCTAGTCTTTACACCTGTACATCTTTTTCTAATTGTTCCTGACKATCCTTTACTATAATAAATCTTAAGCTATGAATATAATTTTTTGTTGAATTATGTGAATCCTTATTGTAAATCACTGAAGTAGTGGGTAATTATGGGGTCCTTGGACACATCTCAACTTCCAGAAAGAATAAATGTGTCCACCTTAGTGAAATTTAGGTCAAAAGAGGCTGTTAAATTCCCAAAATCCAATTTGCATAATAGTAGACAAGTTATTTAGATAGGTCCATCCCTTCATTCATATTAAGTAAGGTCTTCATCTGCCTGAGCTCTTTCTGTGGTCTGAATGTGTCCTTCAATTTTTTTTTTTTATGTTGGAAACTTAGTCATTAACTTCATATGTTAATGGAGTTGGAGGTGGGATCTTTGCGAGGTGATTAGGTCCTGGGGGGCTCTGCATTCTTGAATGGACCATTTATGGATCAGTGGATTATCACCAGAGTGGTGGTTGTCATAAAAGCAGCTTTCTGTGGTGAGCTTGCTCTGACTTGCCATGTGATGTCCTCTGCCATATACTAGTGCAGCRAGAAGGGCCTCCCCAGATGCTGAGCAGATGCTGGTGCCATGTGCTGGGACTTTTCAGTCTATAGAACTGTGAGATAAATAAACCCTTATTCTTTGTAAAATTACTCTGTCTGTGGTATTCAGTTAYACAACAGAAAACAGACCATAAACAAGTAGCAGGATTATAATAAATTTACTTACTTGGTTYAGGAAGGGACTAGATTGAATGAATCAAACAAACATTCTTATTATTTATACTTCCAGAGGATTAGATAAAATACATTAAAATCAATTCAAGATTAAACAATATTAATTATGGTTTATGTCTGAGATGGCTGAGACAATGTCTACTTTGTTCCAGTGCTGAGCACAAGGCTTGATATATAGTAGGCACTCTTTTATGAATAAGGGAAATACAGTTGTATCTGGGAAGTTTTGAAGTCCTTTGATACCTACGGTTATATTCCTCAACATTAAGTGTATTATAATTATTAGGCTGAGTTTAAAGTTGTCAGATTGTACCTTTTGGTTGATATCTGGGAAATGGAAATTCTCATTTTATCTCCCCATTACCTTCATGAGGAACATAGAATAGGAACTGTCATTTCTACTCTACCAAAAAGAAAGCCAGGTGCGATGGTGCACACCTGTAATCTCAGCAGCTCTGGAGGCTGAGGCAAAAGGAYTGTGAGTTCAAAGCCAGCCTCAGCAAAAGCAAGGTGCTAAGCAACTCAGTGAGACCCTGTCTTCTAAATAAAATACAAGATAGGGCTGGGGATGTAGCTTAGTGGTCGAGTGCCCCTGAGTTCAATCCCCAGTATCACCCGTCTCCCCCCCTCCCAAAGAAAACAAAGGCACAGATTGACTTAGCTGAGTTGTCAATATTCTATGACTTGGTAATTAGAAATAAAAGGAAGCTGAGACCCCACATTTCCTAACTGAGCAGTGAAAGAGGTATGKTTAACTTTTATATTGTGTAACATATTAAGCATTTATTTAAAATTATATATGGATCAAAGTAGAAATTTCAATATATAAGAGTTTTATTATAGTTATTTATATAATATCAATACCTCTACTAATAGTTTGCCTTTGCATAGTACTTTTAAAAATAATGAGGGGCTGGGGTTGTGGCTCAGTGGCAGAGCATTTGCCTGACATGTGTGAGGCACTGGGTTCAATWCTCAGTACCACATATAAATAAATGAATAAACTAAAGATCCATCAACAACTAAAAAAACAAAAAAATAATGAGTACATTTGATATTTGTGTAGTTTTTTTTTCTTGATACCAGGGATTGAACCACTAGGCCATACCTCCAGCCCTTTTTATATTTTATTTTGAGACAGGGTCTTGCTAAGTTGCTGGGGCTGGCTTTGAACTTGCTATCTTCTTGCCTCAGCCTTCTGAGCTGCTGCCATTATAGGCTTGTGCCACCATGCCTGGATTGCATAGCTTCTTATTTTATTTCCTGCATTTGTTTTATCAGAATGTGCTGTTTTATATTGGAAAGCATTTCATAGACATGAACTTGCTTAATTCTTGCAAAAATCCCAGTGAGATCAAATAGGGAAGGTATCATTACTCTTATTTAAAAATTCGTAGTAGAGGTTTAGAAAGATAAGTGTCTTGTACAAAGTTAGAAGATCGGCTGGTGACAGCACTAGAACTGGCAACATCTATGTCACCTCACATGCCTCACATGCAGATGACCATATCCAACATTGGATCCAACATCCAAGATTCCTCTCTTAAACATGAATAAAATAGATATAAATCATTTAATTTATTAATTTTGGCATACTAGGGATTGAACATAGGGGTGCTTTACCACTGAGTTACATCCTTTCTGTTTTTTTGTTTTGAGACAAGGTCTTACTGAGTTACTGAGGCTGGCCTCAAACGTGATCTTCTTATCTCAGCTTTCTGATTCACTGGGATTATAGGCATATGGCATAGTGCCTGGGGAATGATTTTAAAAGTAAGGCAAAGCATCTGAAAATTAGTTTTCCAAGGGGTACTCCAGGAAGTAATGATCAGGACAGGGTCACATTCTGTGTTTTTTGCATGAAGTAGTTCTCAAGGAACTGGAATGATTTTTTAAAGGCAGTTATTACAACTGACTGGAGGTAGAAGTACATAATGGGTGCTTAAATATAGTTCAGCACTTTTAATTATTTCTTAATGATCATTTCAATAATTTTCCAAGGAGATCTGGCATAATCAACGAACCAAAACTTCCACTATTTCTTGCATATTTCTAGGCTAATTTAAACCTTTCCTGCAAGTTTAATTAGCATTCAAATGAAGTAGGCATCCCTCAGAGAATAAGGGCTGAGAGCTGTGCAAAATAAAATGGAATCAAGCTCTGAGGCTGGTGTATGAACTGATTCCAAGAAAGTGCAGAAGTGCAAGTGCTTCATGAAGGGTGTGCAGCCTTTAATGAGATCCAAGTTGGAATTTCAGGGTTCCTAGTAGAAGGCTATTCCAAAGCTGGTGGGGGCATTATGAAATTCAAGTGGACCCTATCAGGAAACAGCAGTGCTACTCATAGTGTGGTTACTGGATCATCAGCATCACTTAAGAGCTTATTTAGAGGTGCAAGTTCTCAGGCCTGCTTCAGAAATATTAAATCAGAATCTCAGGGAATGAAATCCTGGGAGTTTTAAGATCTCTGGCACCCCATGCACAATGGTGCACACTTGTGATCGGAGTGGTTTTGGAGGCTGAGGGAGGAGCAAGTTCAAAGCCAGCCTCAGTGACTGAGTGAAGCTCTAAGCAATTTAGTGAGACCCTGTCTCAAAATAAAAAAACATAAAAAAATGAACTGGGAATGTGGCTCAGTGGTTAAGTGCCCCTGGGCTCAATCCCAGTACCAAGAAAAAAAAAAAAAAGATTTCTGGGTAATTTCTACATTGCTGTAGAACATCCTGAAGAAATTCCCAAATAGTCTCAAAGCAGTCCAAACAACCCACTCAGTAACTTTAGAGGATTTTGACCCTTTAGCAAACTCAATCCTAAAACCTGCCATTTCTTCAATTATTTTGGGTAACCTGAAATTGAACCTGATTTTTTTTTCACCTTCATATTTCCTATAGTGTTTTTTGGAAATGATAAGCAAAAACCAGTGTGAACTAGCTGTCTAAAGTCTGGACAAGTAACAGCCCTTTTTCTCTGTCAAAAAGAAATGTGACTCATAGTTCTCATGGGGTCTCCTTTCTACCTTTCCTTCCCTCAGCGTTGTTCACTGATCTGTTTTTATTATTGGGTGATGAATGCGGCATGATGAAAACATTAGAAATGAGAAGGCTGTATCTCTACTCTGCATTTCACACTTCGTTAAGCAAATTTTTACTGCTTAGGGGCCCAAGTGCTAAAGTTTCTATGAGTCATCTCAATTTCCAGTCCCTGCTGCTATTGGAACAAATTGAAAGGCCATTTTGGTACATTAAGACTATATCATTTCAATGCATCACTGCCCCAAGGGGTCCTTAAATTGCACTGTGGTTTATATTTCCCATTCTAATGAAATGATTTTACCGATTTACCTACCTTTTTTTTTTTTTTTTTTTTTTTAAGGATTGAAGATCAAACCCAAATGCTAGGCAACATTCTACCCCTGAGCTTCAAACCCAGCCCTTTTTAATTTTTATTTTGAGATAGGGTCTTGCAAAGTTGCCTAGGCTGGCCTGGAACATGCAATTCTTTTGCCTTAGCCTCCCTAGTGGCTGTGAATACAGGCATGTGACACGGTGCCTGGCTTAGTCTGCCTACTTTTAACTGGGACAAGTTTGTGTGGGATTGTGTGTTCTTGGTTTCCTTTATGCCAYAATCTCTTCTTGGTTTCCCTTCTTTTATTTCTGACAGTTCCTCCTCAACTGCCTTCTCTGAGTATTCTTCATTGATCTCCTTCACGTTCTTCACTGACCTTCATGTTCTTCAAAGTTACAGCTTTAGCCTTCTTTGTCTTACCTTTTTCTCGACTTGCTTTTGAAGTCAGCTTCCACTGTTCCGCAGTGCCCAAACATTTGCCATCAACTACCTATCATCAGACTGATTTCCACCTGTCACCTGGTGCCTCCAGTCTGATACTTTCAGTAGTTTACAGCCCATTTGACTTGCTTTTTTTTTCACTAGTTTAATTACTCACATGCTTCCTCCATTCCTTGGATATGCGAAGCTCTGTTTTGCCCACTGGTCCACCGTCTTCTCATCAAAAATGCTATCCTGTACACTGGCTTTTTGTCTGTTAGCTTTTAAATTTTTTATTAAAGAACTATTTTAATTCCTTCGATTTTACAAAGGTCATGCCTGAGAAAATGATAATTTCCCTCTCTCCCAACCTCCAATGTAAATTACATGCCTTTGCATACTTTCCTGGCAACTTTAATTTCCCCTTTATATGATACATTCTGGAGTAAGGCATTTATTTAATTTCATTTATATTGTCGATTTTCTCTTCCCTAGTCCAGTGTTTCTTAACCTTGGCTACATTTTAGAGTCATATGGGAGCTTTTACTAAATGCCAGTGTGGAGGCTCCATCTCCCTTGGTGTGGAGTCCAGACTTTTACATTCAGRTGATTCTGATGTATACTGTGAATCGAATCCATAGTGCTAGACTGTAAGCCCCTGGAGGACAAGACCAGCTTTTTTCTCTCAGTACTTAGCATAGAGCCTGCCCCAAGGTATTCAAAAAGATTGGTTGAGTTTTGCTAAATAAATCATTCTAAAACTGTACTAATATTTACCTTCTTGTCGTCTTCTGCACTCCTGCTGAAGACTCTGTTCCTTCCTGTYTGCCTTGGCTCATGCCAGTTCTTTCGTCTCCCAGAACACCTACTTCCTTTCTGACTTGGTTCATTCCAACTTATCTTTCAAGACTTAGTGTGAACATCTTCAGGAAATCTTGCCAATAGCCAGGAGGGACAAGTGCCATTTCTTTATGTCCTATGACACCTTGTACATACTTCAGTGTTACTTTGGAATGAAATAAGTGCTTCTTATCCTCACTGGTTTCTGAACTTCCACGGTCTTGGATCCACTTCCATTTCTTTGAACTGTTTATGTTCTTCTATTTTTTTTTAAATTTTGATTATTGATTTCAGCTTTGAGTTAGCCTCTCCAGATATGAAAACCAGGGTCATCCTTCTCTGATCAAAGCTAGTGATCAGAGATGTGCAAAACTATTTATCCAGGGGAATGTTTGTTTTAGAGTTACTTATAATAACAATCATTTGGAATCTTATCATGATATATCCATAGACCAGAATATTTTGCAGCTTAAAAAATCAGTTTAAGCCAGGCATGGTGGCACATGCCTGTAATATCAGGGGTTTGGGAAGCTGAGGCAGAAGGATCACSAGTTCAAAGGCAGCCTCAGCAATGGCAAGGTGCTAAGCAACTCAGCGAGATCCTGTCTCTAAATAAAATACAAAATAGGGCTGGGGATGAGGCTCAGTGGTTAAATGCCCYTGAGTTTAATCCCTAGTACCATAAAGAAAAAAAATCAGGTTATAAAAGATTATATAATAATATGTAAAATGTTAATATGATATATTGTCACATGGCAAGTTTCAAAACATATATATGATATAATATTGATTTCATAAAACAAGCTCTATCTAGCTATCAACCTTTATAGAATGATAGAGCAAATATATGTATAACATTACTTCATATTATGGTGGTGGAATTTTTGTCTTTGTGTTTTATGTATTTTCTATTTTACAAATAATGACTATCAATTACTTTTGTAATCATCAAATACACAGTAAAGTTTAAAAAATATGGCATTGATTACCACTAACTAGCTGAGCAAAGCATAGGTAAATGATGATTTGCTGAAGACATAGGGAAGAAATACCTATTGCTTCTGTAACTTATTCCTCCACCTAAAATATTTAAGGTTAATGGGGTGTGGTGATTGGTAATTTACATTGATATAAAGCACATTTTCTGATTATTGAGGTTTCTRTTATATAATAAATGTGATGAAATCTGCATTGTCTTCTTTCATTTTGAAGTCTAAGAGGAGCTTATTGTTTTACAGCACCAAATATCATAACTACTTTTATACTATGGAATTCAYCCTGGACAGATTTTGTCTCAACTGTGCTCACAACCTATGTCTGGATTCTGTGCTTATTAGTTGTGCATCTGAAAATAGTATGCACTCACCTTTTTGCAGACAAAGTCACCAGGTAAATAGATAGTGGATTTCAATCTTAGCAACATGTCATAAATCATCTGGTTGTCACAATTCTATATAAAGAGAAAAATAATTCTTACAGACCCAGCAAAATGCCAATATCCCAAATGAATTAAAAACACAATGGAAGTAATGGATGCTGTCTGTATTAGCAACTAAAATATTAGTTGCCAGTGGATATGGATTTGACCCAAAATTTGGGAAAAAAGATACCTAAAGTATAATGACAAGACTTTGCAACTTGATCAGGTAGGTCTGGTGAGAATTCTGTCTCTACTACCTATTATTTTGCAATCTCTCATGCCCTCAGTTTCCTAATTTGTAAGATGGTTATAGAAATGGTGCTTATCTTATAAGTTAAACTTAGCATGGTTCTTAATCAATGATAGCTATTAATGATTGTGATTATTAGTATAATAGTACTCAAATAGATCACACTCTTTGCAGATTTTTTWAAAATATCATCCTTTTATACCATTGCTAGATATTATTTAACTTTGCAAACTTACATGTCTTTCTTCCCCARCTTGATTATCATTTTCTTAGAGGCAGGGAAAATATTCGTAATAAATTGGTATGAAAGAAATATCTGCTGAGTGAATGAGTATAGTCACCTTAATAATATAAGAAACAAATTTTATTTGTTAAAATAAATGTCTTTGTGTGCATTGGGTCTAAATTAATTATAATTTATATGATGAACTGAAGAAGAACTTATGAGTATTTCAATAATCCCATTTTACATAGTGGCTTTGCACCTTTTGCTTTCACCTAATATTTTTATCTTTTCTCCCAGAACTGCTCACATGTAGCAATTTTCCTTTTGTAGTTGGYCCTGCTCACCCCTTAGGGGAATTATGATTTTGTAGGGGAATAATCATAAAGTAGGTAGTGGAGGAAGGAGGAGGAGAAGCAGAGGGCCTGCCCCCAATTTGTGGATTGACTGATCCTTCCTTTAGTAATCACTGGTTTTCAGTAATGGTTTCTGTAGCAGACACTTGACCTAGATCCATATGAAATTTAGACCTCAGGGTTGCTTGGCCGATAAAGAAAGTTAATCATTTATGACTGAAGTATCTTCAAGTAGCCATTGGTGAAAAACAGTCGGAAAAACTTGGTGTTAGAATTTTAAAAATTCATTTGAGAAAGGATAGCTTCTGGTTCTCCAGAATGGAAAAAAGACCAAGGCCAGGAGGAATACCTTTTGTTAAAAAAAAGAAATTATAGTCGTTCAAACATATTAATTGTACCAATTAATGGATTTCACGGTGACATTTCCATTCACATGTATGTTGGGTTTGGATTGAATTCACCCTCCCTCTTCCTGCCTGCCTCAGTCCCCAGGAGTGGCGTGGCTGGGTCTTAGGATAAATCTATTTTAAGAGTTTTTGAGGAACTTCCATACTGATCTCCGTAGTGGCTGTACTAATTTACATTCTCACTAACAGAATATAAGGGTTTTGCTTCACATCCTTGCCAACATTTATTTATTTATTTATTTATTTATTTATTTATTTGGATAATTGCCATTCTGACTATAGAGAGGTAGAATCTTAATGAAGTTTGGATTTGCATTTCCTTGACAGCTAAAAATGTTGAACATTTCCTCATGTGTTTCTAGGCCATTTACACTTCTTCTTTTGCAAACTGTCTGTTCAGATCATTTGCCTCTGCATTAATTGGGTTATTTGTTATTTGTTGTTACCTGTTTTTTGAGTTCTTTAGGTATTTTAGATATTAATCCTCTGTCAGATGGATAATTTGATTCCCACCTTTTCTATTTGTATCTCTCTTATTTCTTTCTCTTTAGACTGATGGCTCTGGCTAAAATTTTAAGTACTACAGCAAATAGATGTCTTACAAGCTATTATTTTTTGCTAAAGCAGGTCAAAGACAATTTTTTTTTCAAAAAAGTGTTTTTAGTAAAAAAAAGTAAAAAAGTTGTTTTTAGTAAAAATTCTCTAAATGACTCATTTGCCCAATTTCTTTATATGCTGTCATCATTTCAGAATTGTTTTATTTCACAAATTAGCATTCTTATCAGTCAAAACTCACTTAGAAAAAAACRCAAACTTGCTTTTTAGATCTTCTCCACTAAGGAAAGTTAGCATCTTTAACATTTTAAAGAAAATCTATTAGAAATATGCTTTCAGGTTCTTAAACATATACAGTCATCCCTCCCTCAATATCTGTGGTAATTGGTTCAAGGATCCCTTGTAGACACCATCTGTGGATGTCATAGTTCCTCATTAGGAAATGGCATAATGTTTGCATATAACTTACAGACATCTTTTTGTGTACTTTAAACTATTTCTAGGTTACTTATAATACCTAATGCAATGTAAATACTATGTAAGTAGTTCTTGCATTGTTTAGCAAATCATTACAATCAAAAAGGTTTGTATATGTTTTGTAGAAACACATTTTTCCCCTAATATTTTTGATCCAAGTTTRTTTGAATCTGCAGATGTAGAACCCACAGATAACAGAGATGACTATACATGTCTGAGATGTTATTGTAATGGAAATAGCTCATACCCATGGAGCAGATGTGCATTATAAATGATCAGAAATAGAAKATCTCAAAAAACCTACTTATATTTATTTTCATATTTGATTTCATTTGTAATTAAAATTTGTGGATAAAACTACTAAATGGAAAATTCCAGAAATAAACAATTCATAAATTTTAAATTGCCCATCATTCTGAGTAGTATAATGAAATATTAGGCTCTCTAGCTCTGTCTCTCCCAGAACATGAATCAGCCCTTTGCCCAGCATATACCTGCTATATGTGCAACCYACCATGATTCTTTTAGGAGCATCTCAGCTATCGGATTGACTGTTGTGGTGTCTCAGTGTTTCTGTTCAAGTTAATACTTATTGTAGTTAATAATGGCCCCAAAGAGCAAGACTAGTGATATAGGCCATTTGGTAATGCCAATAAGAAGCCATAAAACACTTCCTTTAAGTGAAAAGGTGAAAATTCTCAACTTAAGGAAAAAAAATTCATTGTATGCTGAGGTTACTGAGATATATGGTAAGAACAAATCTTTTATCCATGAAATTGTGAGTAAGAAAAAAAAAAACTCCTTCATGCTGGTTTGTTGTACCTCAAATCRAAAAAGTTACAGCTACTGTGTATGATAGGTGCTTAGATAAGATTGAAAAGGCATAATTATTGGTTTTTGGCATCCACCRGGGATCGTGGAGTGTATCCCTTATRGATAAAGAGGGTCTAAAAAATTGAAGAAATTGTCAATGTATAGGTAGATTAAATAATAAAATTTGAGTATACTGGCTAAAATATTTGTAGATGAGAATATTGTAAAGAGGTTAAAATAAATCAAATCTTTATATTGATATACCTAATGAAACTCAACGAAGTTGTCTGAATGTAATATATTCAATATTACAAAATCACAAAAATTACCACACAAAATACTTCCTGCTCTTTATGTTTATACAGATAAAAAAACAAAATTATAAAAATAAGAATTGAAAAGGCAACCTTAAAAATCATTTTAGTGGCTGCCTCTGGAGAGGGAGGATGGAAAGTGGATCTGGGGAGAACTGATGAGACTTCAATTTAATTTTTATTCCTTTAAAATTTTAATGGAAATGAAAATAAAAATTTCTCTTTCTCCATGGAGAAACACATTTCATTTTTTCTCTTCTGTTCTTCAGGCAAGCTCACTGGAAGAAAGGACTAATAAATGATACYAAATCAATGGAAAGTGTTAGACCAACTGAGGAGATAAGCCCTAAAATAGCTAAACACACATTTAGTGCTCTGCTCAGTAGGAACACACAGCACTTACCTCAATGGTTTTTAAGCTCATAGTTTGGATTTTCTGAGAGAAAAGCATTGAACTATTCTAAACATGGCTTTTTTGTTAACATAATTGGATAGAACATGGATAAATCATGCAAACTGAACATAGCAAATGTATGTAGTAAAAATTTGGAATTTGTTTCACCAATTAAGTGACTCTATCTCCTAACTATTGCTWTATTGAAAGGTGCCACTGGCTTTGGGCAGCTGTGCTTTAAGACTAAATCCTTCTCATCTGGATTTACGCTTAGTGAAATGAAGTTTGCATTATGATATTCTTCCATTTTATGATGTTAGAAAACTATTATCTTTTTCTTTTTTTCCACAAAAATCTTTATTTTCTTGATACACTTTGCCCCATTTGTATATAATTAAAAAGAACTATATCTTGGGGTTGGGTGGTTTTTTTGTTTGTTTCGTTTTGATTTTCCTTTTGACTTAGCTGCATTTCTTTGATAGAAATCATTAGGAATTTTTCTGATTTGCAGAAAATCAGAGCACAGCCATTATTTTGCAAATGTCCTGTTTCCTGTTTTCTGTAAAGTAAGAGTACCTGTTTAGGCATCAACATTAACACATTATTGCATGATGTTTCCATTAAGTTTACTATTTTGCTAACTTAACCTGTTTACTTCTTGCAACCTCTGTATGGTGCTTGGCATTAAGGAATGCATTCTCATCAGTCCTGGTTTTTAGATGAAGGATCAAAGTCTCTTGGAGGTCCATTGACTTTCCAGAGTGTCAGAGGAAGTTTTTATTTACATCCTGAGTAACTTGAGGTTAAGATGTTTGTATCATTCACTGCTGCATCCCCAGTGTCTCATGAGGGCTTGGGACATGTAAAATACTAAATAAATATGGGCTGATGTACAGAATAATACTGTTAGAAATTATTTCATTTTGGACAATTAAAAACTGTGTGTTGCATACTTGAGTAAAGATTCCAAAGATTTGAATGGAGCTGGAGGAAATCCTGTTTTTATTCAAAACAYAATCTATAGGTTAAGTAGTAGTTTYTGTACCTAGGAGATTCTTCTTTAATAATGACAAACTCTGAACACAACAGTAAAATTAGTAAAACTTATCTTTGGAATGATTACCTTTTAGTCTTATAGGATTTATCTATGTCTAGGTTAATTTTTGCTTTCTTTAAAACAGAACTTAAGATATTATCAGCAATCTCACTGTGAATTTAAGTCACCCTCAAGTATATGCAAT